GGTAAGGATTTGAACTCAGGTTCTGTGACTCCAAGTTCAGCACTCTTTTCACTATACTCACCCCTCCCCCCAAAGGGGGCAGGGGTTAGACATGACAGCCTCTTAGGGCACCTGAATGCCATGATGGAAATAATCAAACCAGCCATGGTAAGGAGCCAGCCCTGGGCTCAGCACTCGGAGGGTCCAAGGAGAAACGGACCTGACACAAAATGAGAAGCAGGGAGTAAAATGGAGAACACACCTGGGGGCACGAGCGGACCCCAGCTATGGATGTGGCAGGACAGGAAGCAATGCCCCAGTGGCCTGACTCAGGAGACTGAAGAGGGAGGGACCGGCCCACTCTCTCCTGCAGATCCAGACCCTGGAGTCCCTCTCTGGAGGGGGCAGGGGAGAGGGCGGGTCCCCTTCCTTGCCCACCCCCTCTGCGCCCTCAATGCCGAATAGTACCCGCTCCAAATGGTAGTGAGCGTAGTGAAATACTCAGCCTACTATGAGCCAAGCACTGTGCTCAGCGCTTTACACAGACAACCACACTTGATCCTCTCAACCACCCTGCAAAGTAGGTGCTGTTATTATCCTCATTTTACAAAAAAGGGAAATGATAAATACTGGAGGTGTTGTAGGATAACATGCACGTCGATACGTTGTTGGTGGACCTGTCAATAGTTACAACAATTCTGGAAAGAAACGTGGAATTATATTTTAAAAAGTCACTAAGCAATGTGTGTCCTATGACCCAGCTATGCCACTGCTAGGTCTGTGCCCAAGAATGAAAGAAAAAAGATATTTTATACAAAAAATATAGCAACTATTTTTGTGGTGATAAAAAACTGGAAACTAAGAGGATATCCAACAATTGAAGAATGGTTTAATATGTTCCAATATAGAAACGTGATGGCATACTATTTTGCTGGGGAAAAAAGCAGGAAATAGATGATTTCAAAGAGACATGGAAAGATTTGTATGAACTGATGAAGGAGTAAAGTGAGCAGGACCAGGGAACCAATTTATATTCTAACATTAATATCATAAAAATGAACAATTGTAAGGACTTTTGAAAAGTGATAAAAATGAAATGAGCAGAATTAGGAGAACAATTTATACAGCAACAATAATATTATAAAAATAAACAACTTTGAAAGCATTAAGAACTATGATTAATCAATACAATGACCAGTCATGGTTCCCGACTGATGATGAAACATAACAGAGAAGTGATAGATTTAGGGGCAGAATGAGACATATGTGTGTATTTGTATGCAGTCATTAAAGGAATTTGTTTTGCTTGATGATTCGTATTTATTTCAAGAAATTTGTTTTTCTTTTTTTTCCCAAATGGGAGAAAAGGAGAGAAAATGGATTTCAGTTAGTTTTTAAAAAACAAAGAAGTGGGGAGGAGGTCCTACGGGTATGAAATGTTACATGCACTTTCAGATGAGGTCACTGCATAATTAATTTTACCTGTTTCACTTTGTTATAAGAATAAATGCTTATAATGTAAAAATAAAACACCAATAAAACTTTTAACAAAAGGAAATAAATAGCTGCCCATACCTGATTGCTACTGCACAGGAATACCTTTCTATTTCTTGCTTTGGGGAGAACCAAGGAATGGGCTGAACCTAAGCTATAAGTAAGTCTTCTTTCAACACTGGGATGTTGGTGTGGGGAAACCAAGAGTATAAGAAAAAGACCCCAACCCTTTGTTGAGGTTGTTAGACTCTCCCTGGACTGATATTGGTTACCCTGTGCATGGATCTAGAGAAGAAAGCTCTTAATCAGAGAGGGCATGGTACCCCGGCCCTCTGGGCCAAACAGGTTTTAATTGTTAGATAATTATAACATAATTCATGTCAGAATGTAATGTGTCCTTAGAAAACGAGGCTAATCCAAGGGGCACAAGAGATTCCAAGCAGCAAGTATCACTTCTAATGGGGAAGAGAGGGAGGAATCAGGGACAGATTCATGGAGGAGGATTCATGTAGGAGCTGAACCCTCAAGGAAGAAAAGGATTCTAAGAGAAAGTGAGAAGGGCAGTTGAAACGGAGGCCTGTACAAATGTAGGCCAGATGGAAATGCCAGGACAAGAAGAGGGAGTAGTTCATGCCCAATCTGGCTGGACTTTGAGGGCATGGCAGGGAGAAATGGAAAGCAAGGTTGGAAAGGAAAGCTGTGGCCTGATTATCGAGGGCCCAGGATGCCAGGGGAAGCAATATGCCCAAAGGGCCTGCAGGCACTGCTTCTGGCTTGGAGAGGGATGAGCACATGTTTCTTCATTTCCACAGCTGGCGACGACGAGCTGTCTGGTTCCAGCCCCTGCATCTCCGCCTCCTTCCCATCCTACCCCAAGCTGGCTGTTTGCTTGTTTACCCTCTTATCTTGTAATTATTGTGCCTCCAAATTAGAAAGGGGATTAACTAATTACAGCCTTGTCAGGTTCTTTTAGAAGTGAGAATTGTTCATCCCTAAAAAGGGTGCTCTGCAGTATCACAAGGACGGGGGGGCCGTGCCTCCAGGAAGGTCAGTCTCTGAACTCACCTGGCTCCACACAGCTCTAGGTCACCTCACTACCCACAGGCACTTGATCTCCACCCCCTCTGACCCCTCTTCCACATCTGCTGGGAGAACCATCCTCCTGAAGAGATCATGGAATCCCAGAAGCTCAGGGTTGGAAGGCACCTCAGGGAAGGATTCCTGTAGCTATTGGGAGGGAGTCCCCAAAGGCTTGGAGAGCAGAAGAAAAGATGCATGCAGACAGGAGATGGACGACTGACTTCAGGGGAACATCCATGTTGTGAAGGAGGGTACCACAAAACAGGACTGGAAAGGTGGACAGCTCTCGAGAGCCTTAAACACCAGGCCAAGCTATCCACATTTGACCTCTAGAAAATGGGGAGCCACTGATGAGTCGTGACCAGCTTGGAAGAAAGTAGCTTTTATATTTTCTAATAGACACATAGCAAGTTTCAGGAAAATACAATGAATTCATTAAGGATGGGCGACTGGTCACTTGTTGAGCCTAACATGAACAGACGTCAGTGCTTCAAGGATGTGATTCTGTTTATGCGGGTATCGCCTCTGTTAATGCAAGGCTACAACCCCTCTACATCTTAGCAGGTGGTCTTCAAGAATTTCTGTGATTAAATTTTTAAAACTCCAGTAACAGAGCCTTCAAGAACCCAGGGTGACCTCCACGACACAACGAGGGGCTTTTGTAGAGGTAAAAATAGAAGTATTGTCTGGCTTACACGTGACTTATAGTCAAGAATTCAATAAATTCCATTCATTAACATGGAACTATTTTATGTGTGTGTAGGTCAAAGAACAGAAGTTTCAAAGACATTGGAAATTTCTGGAAAATGAACATGTGTTTAAGTTGTGAGAAACAAGTAAGGCAACGCATGTAAAGTGGTTCACAAACCTTGACGCATAATATAAATATCAGTAGGTTCATTATAGTTGTAACTTAAGCAATAAATGTTCTAATTTCTCTCATTAAACAAAAATTGTGATCGGGAGAGTGTCATGGCCCACCCTGTGCCTTGGGAAGGTGATTCATGACAGAACGAGCAGATGTGAGGCTCTCGGAGGCAGCCTGGCCTGGGCCTGGTGGCATCAGGACAGAAGGGAGCGGGTCAATAAGTGACCGTTCAGTGGACCCGCTGGAGCCATGGCTGTGGGTCAGCTTCCCTGGAAGCCGTAAGATGATCCTCGGATAACCCAGCAGGACACAGACCCCTCTGCTGGGGAGTTATCATAGCAAGCAGCATCTCTGGGGGTGGAGGGCACTGGACCATTGAATATATGAATGGAACTCTGCCCTCGTGTGCACTCTCAGACCCTACCTTTGTCTTGGGTTCCCTGTCTGTCTCTGTCTCTGTCTCTGTCTCTGTCTCTCTCAGACATTAATGGCACTCTGCCATTGCAGGAACTCTCACAGGACCTGCCTCTGTCTCGTTTTCTCTGTTTCTCCCTCATGTGTGAGCACGTGTATATGCCTCCCTCTTCTTCTAGAGTATGTCTCTGTCATTGGTCCAAGGGATACAGACCCCTCCCTCTGTGTTCCAGGGAGAGAGGGGACTCCCAGCAGGACCAGTGCTCAGGGGGCCAGGTTCATGTCCTGGGGGCAAAGGTCACTGATGAGAAGCAGCTCCAGACTGGTCTGGTCTGAAACACATGAAGGCATAGCTCAGAACCCTGCCTCCTTCTGTGAGTGAGAGTCATCAGGATGAGAAAACTGCCATATACACCTTGACAATGTTGTTTATTAGACAGATATAAACCTTTTCTGCCGACCAGCGGTTGTTTACGCTACTCTCTCACAATAAGCTATTTCAGCCCCATCACTAGCACTTAACGACAGGGCTATTTAGTCCCTTGCCATGAGTTGAGACAACAAAGGATAGGAATTTCAAGACTGACATCGGGGATCCCACAGGCCAACCAAAGAGCATAATTAAGAGCACAGAAAATATTGCTGGGGACCCTGCTGTCACTGACCCTGATACACAATGATCATTGCCCAGACCTTACTCATTCTCTGTACCTAAGACCTCAGGCAGCACAAAGCACGGTCTGATGGACAAGACATTTCCTAGGTATACCCAACACAAGGGAATTTGGTCACATTAGAAAAAGCTACCCAAGTAACAAGACGTCTCCACCCCAAACTCCAGACCAGAATACTTAGATAAATCAAAATATCATTTGTCTCTGTCTGTCTGTCTCTTTTCCCCCTCCCCTTCTGTCTTCTCTCTCTCCCAGCTTTCTCAAAAAACCATCACTGTAACTGCAGTGGAACAGATTATTCTAGAACACACACCCACACAGAGGTTCATGGTCCCTCTGCTTTTCCTTGCAATCTGCAGGCCACCTCAGAGTGGAAGAGAGGCCAGTGCCCTTCCCAAGGATGTTGGCAGTGACCACTGCCTTCCTGCCCTCACAGTCCAGCTGCCCTGCCTCTCTGATCGAGGTAACAGGAGAATACACGGGGGACTCACCACACTCAGTCCCAGCTGCTCCCGGAAAAAGTAATCCATGTTCCTTTTCTGCAGGCTGTCAAGATAGTGCTGGAAACGTGTGTACGTGTATGGGTAGCAGTATGCAAACTGATAAATGTCATCTTCCCGGTCAAAGCAGAAAGCAAAGGACATCACGTAGCTCTTGCGATGGTCTGGGCAGCGGTAATAGTACACATTTTTCGGAGGCAGTCGTTGCCTGAAAGGAACAAAGCAAGAAATATGAGAATATCAAATTCTTGTTCAGGCTGAGCAGTGAGGAAAATGAGACTGAAGGCCTGGGCTCAGAAAACCATTCACGGAGCAGCCAGAGAAAGATGGAGGCACATCTCATCAGAGCAAAGCAAGGCTTTAAGATGTCAGAGCTGGAGGGGACCTAGGGCATGGAATATCTACTGGGAGGGACCTTGGGAGAGACAGCACAGAGTGCCAGAGCTGAGAGGCCCTTTACAACACACAACCAGGAAGGGCTTTAGAATCAAGAACAGGGAATGTCAGAGGTGGGCAGAGCCTAGAACACACAGCCCATGACGTCCGAGGGAAGGACTGAGACAGAGCAGACTCCAACCTGGGGAGTCGTTCCACAAGGGGCCCACAAATCCACACACACCAAACATTCTCTGTTTGATTATTATTTAGCTCTAACAAAACATTCAGCATGACTCAGTGTAAAACACAAGCACGCATAGCTTCGGGGAATCTAATGAATGATGCGTCTTGTACACACACGGATATGTGACGCACACGTGTTACTTTTTTCACTCGTGTGTAGACGCCATTCGTGATGAGTAAAATTCAAACTCATTCAAAAGCATCGGCCAATTCAGACTAGCCTCATACTGTTATGCTGTCAGAGAAGTCACTTTCACGTAAGAGTCCAAGGAATTATTTGACACCAAAAAGGGATACTCAGAACTGAAAAGGTCGGGAACTGCAGCATGGATTTGGGACCGAGAAGCAGGGCCATTGAGCAAATCTCATGGGATGTCAAAGCTGCAACGGGCCTTAACAGCCTCCATAACCCAAAGAAGAATGAGCGCTCCCAAGGATGGCTAGAAGACTGGGAAAGCCCTGAAGCACCTCATGTGATCTTCACAACCACCCTGGGAAGCAAGTGCTGTTATTATCACCATTTTACAGCTGGGGAAACTGAGGCCGAGTTTGCCCAGTGTCACACAGCTAGGGACACAGCGTCACATGTCTGAGGCAGGGATTTGAGCTCCACCGCCCACACTCTGCCCAGAACACAGACCGTGAAATGTCAGAGCTCAGACTGACTCCAGAACTAGAACAGAGGATGTCAGAGCTAGGTGAACCCTCCACCACTCAATGGCAGGGCCAATGGGGATCCTAGAACACAGAATATGGAATGGCAAAGCTGGAAGCAACCTCAGAACTAAGAAGGAACACAGAGTCCCTGCTTCGAGGGAGATGATAGGCCAGGAAAAGAAGAAGGTGACCTCAACACTGGGTGCCATCCTAAAGTATGAGTGAGTGAAGAAAAAAGCATTTATTGAGCTCTTGCAAGCGCCATGGATCTGTCCAGCACTGTGGATACAAACAGAAACAATGTGGGGCTGTTCTGGTGGAATGGTAAAATCATGGATCCATCCTGCGCATCTCCACCCCACACTCCTCCTAAGCCGGGGAGCTCTGTGGGGTCCATGAGGGTAGGAACCAGACCTTGCTTTTTAAAACATTTTTAAACATTTTTATTTGAAGTTTCAAGTTCCAAATTCTATACTTTCTTCCCTCCCTCCCTTCTCCTCTCCCTGAGACAGTAAGCAGATATAGGTTATACATGTGCAATTATGTAAAACATTTCCATATTAGTCATATTGTACAAGAAGGCTCAATAAAAGAAAAAAAATGAAAGAAAAAAAATGAAGGAAAGAAAGTGAAAAATAGCATACTTCAGACTGTATTTAATCAACATCAGTTCTTTCTCTGGAGGCAGATAGTATGCTTCATCATTAGTCCTTTGGGATTGTCTTGGATCATTGAATTGCCCAGAATAGCTAAGTCATTCAGAGTTCTTCACTGAACAATATTGCTGTTACTGTGTAACAACATTCTCCTGGTTCTGTTCACTTCACTATGCATCAGTTCATGTAAGTCTTTCCAGGTTTTTCTGAAATCAGCCTGCTCATCATTTCTTATAGCACAATATTCCATCATAATCATATACCACAACTTATTCAGCCATTCCCCAATTAATGGGTATCCCCTCAATTCCCAAAAATTCTTAGTCACCACAAAAAGAGCTGCTGTAAATATTTTTGTACAAATAGGTCCTTTTCCCTTTTTTTAATGTCTTCGGGATATAAACCTAGCAGTGGTATTACTGGGCCAAAGGGTATGCACAATTTTACAGCCCTTTGGGCATAGTTACAAATTGTTCTCTAGGATGGCTGGATTAGTTCACAACTCTACCAACAGTGCATTAGTGTCCCAGTTTTCCCACATCCCCTCTAATATCCAACATTTTCCTGTTTTGTCATGTTGGCCAATCTGATAGGTATGAGGTGGTACCTTAGACTTGTTTCAATTTTCATTTCTCTGATCAACAGTGATTTAGAGCATTTTTCATATGACCATAAATAGCTTTGATTTTTTTCTCTGAAAACTGCCTGTTCATATCCTTTCACCATTTATCACCTGGGGAATGATTTGTATTCTTATAAATGTGACTAGGCCTTGCTAATCTTTACTTCCCTCAAGGCTGAGCTCTGGGTTCCAAACACAACAGTCGGTAAACAACTGGTTTCATAATCAATATGAAGACACCCCCCCCAACCTCTTGCCCCTGGCCTTGTGTGCTGCCCGTCATGGTCACCCAGGCCCGACACTGTGGCCAAGCTGTTCTCCTCCTGCTCTTTTGTGTAGCAATAAGGTCTGTTAACTACTCTCCCTGTGTGAGCTGTTGGCCTTTATCTTGACATGCTGGAAATATGTTATCTCAAACAGGTAATTACCACCTGTGTGACCTTGAGCAAGTCACTTAACTCTCTATAAAAAGAAGATAAGAGACAGTGTGGCAGAGTAGAGAGGTGGCCCCAGAGTCAGGAAGCCCTGGGTTCAAATCTTGTCTCTGATTTACGCTGGCTGTGTGACCCTGAGCAAACCAACCTTAATGTTAGCGTAAGCTCTCGGTCACCTGGCAGCTCCTTAAGACTGTAAGTTGTAGAGAAGGTGCTCACTGGCTTTGGAAGAGGGGTTTCGTCATCCAAGAATTCCCTACACCAATGAAATCCCAAGTTCAGCCCTTGTCTCTTACCCCGTCATTGGGGGAAGATAACCTTCCCGTCTCACTGGATTGCTGAGAAAAATGAGTTATTATTAATGGATTGGTACCACCTTGGAGGGAAGTCTCTAGTGGGATGCTTCAGTATGTTTTGGGCAATCTTTTTCTCAATGACCCAGAAAAAGAAAGAGATGGCTTGCTTATTAAATCTGCAAGTTGTCATCCCAGCCCTTGACTTGGAGCTCAAAGAGATAAGTCCCTTCATCAGAGGACAAGCTCCCTAAGAAGCTGAACCGTCCAAAAGGGGAAGGGGCTGCCTGGGGGGGCAGTGGAATCCCCCTCCCCGGATGCCTGCAAGCAGAGAGCCTTGGGGATAGCCTGCTGGAGGCGTGGCAGAAAAGCAGAGCCCTCAAGGCCTAGCTGGAGCAGGTGCCTCTGAGGTTCCGACCAGCTCCAAGATTCTGAAATTCCATCTATTGAGCCTCAGGAGGGTCCTTCAACTGGAAAGTTTTCCCAATAAGCCAAAAAGAGGACGTCCATTATAAAATAAAAACAACAATAGCTATATGTATACAGTGCTTTAAGGTTTGCAAAGCGCTTTGTAAATACTATCTCATTTGTTCCACACAATAACCTTGCAAGGTAGGTGCTGTTATTATCCCCATTTTACAGATGAGGAAACTGAGACTGAGAGAGGTTAATTCACTTGCCTAGGGTCACATGGCTAATAAGCATTTGTGGCTGAATTTGAATTCAGATTTTCTCAACTCCAAAACCAGGGCTTTATTCACTGTACCTGTAGAATGTCAGAGCTTGTAAATAGCTGGGAATAGAAATCCAAAATGAATACTTTTTCTGCTCAGAAGAAAACACATCTTTTTGCTCACTCCCCCAAACCCGAGGATCAAAGAAGCCAGTAGTGGCAAGACGCTGCTTAGGGCACCTTCAATCGCCAGCTGCTCTTGGCTGAGTCCATCAAATTATTTAAATAATCATACCACCACCCCCTTGCTCTTCCATGTCAGCTGTCTTCAGCTTGGATGTGTGCACAGGGAGAATTTATATCTTCAACAAACTCTCTGGACTTTGGTTTAAAACTGATGGAAAACAGAGCAGCCGTGGCAGTGAAGTTAGTGTGTGACGGGGCCATGAAGGGGGGAATCACAGACCCTAGGAGCTGGAAGGCTGTCGGAGGCATCAGCCCAACCTGTCTCTGAATAAGGATCCCCTTTGCAAATCCCCTGTCACAGGGCACCCTAGTCTCTGCTGGAAGGTCTCCAGGGAGCTCACTCCCTCATGAGGAGTCCATTTCACTTTTGGACAACACTCATTGTGAAGCAGATTTTTTCCCTATTCATTGAGCTTTTCTGCAACTTCCTCCCAGTGTTCACCACGTTGCATTTTGGGGCCAAATTGGAAAAAATAATGTCTAAGCCCTCTCCTTATGACAGCTTTTCAAATTCTTTGGGAAGGCTAGCATATGCCCCTCAATGGCTAAACTTGCCCAGTTCCTCCAAACGATCCTCATGTGTCATGAATGCAGCCCCTTCCCATCCTGGCTGCCCTCCCTGGAAGCCTCTTGCGGCACTCAGATCTGGAAGTGGCCAAACCAGGGCACAAGTCAGCAGGCTCTTTTACCTCCTCATTTCTGGATGCGAAGTCTCTCTTCATGCAGCCCAAGTCCTCATTAGTCTTCTTGGCTGCCCCATCACATTGCTGACTCATACTGAGCTGCTGTCTACTCAAACCCCCAGATTTTTTTCAGGCAAACTGCTGCCTAACTGTGCCTCCCCCAGCTTGTACTTGTGAAGCTGATCCTTGAAAGTCAAATGGAAGAGTTTCCATTTATCGCCACTGAACTTCACCAGCTCAGATTCAGGCCAAGGCCCCAGCCTGCCAAGAGTCTTTGGGATGCTGACACTGAGTTTGCTCTCCCTCCCAGCCTGGGGCCATCT